CAAACGTTCCAGCAAAAATTGCGATTCATCAGGCCAGGCAACATTTTTCCAAACCTCTATTGTCAAATTTTTGTGAGCCTGTGTGAATTGTAGAAGTTTCCTGTTCTTAGCTGTCAGGAGTGACACCCAATCTGGTCTTCTGCTGCTGCAACCCATCTGCTTCAACGTTTGACATATTGTGCATTCAGAGATGCTCTTGAGGATACCTCAGTTGTAACAAGTTGTTGTTTCGTTACGGTCAGCTCCAAAAATTTGGCCCTTCTACCCTGACCTCTGTTATGAAAAACCATGCCACATTTAAAGTGTCTTAAATCACCAATCTTCCCCGATCCCGAGTGGCTGACTAGATATTTGCGTTAACGAGAAATAACCTAACCATTTACTCATGGATATATCAGTAAATGTTATTTAGTTATCTCAAAGACATCTATTACGTAATTACATGTAAATTGCATTAATTTAATTTTACAATTTCTAATTGTAACATCTACTATTACCAGTAGCAGTTTATAAAGATTTAAAATTAATACCGAGCGGAACTGAGTGCAGCATATTGGTCCCAACAATCCCAGTTTCTCATGGGACCCCTTGGGAAAATTAATTGCCCACCACTTGTGTTCTGTTAAGTGAGGAGTGAGTGATTTCAGACACAGTTGATATTGGTGGGAGCAAGGCAGGGGCACATGCCCACTTAAAAACAAGCAAACCTTAACAAATTAAACCATATATGAAAAACAAATCAGCTGCATCTGGTAAGTTACTTGTGCCGAGAACTGGAATACTGTCCTGTGGCCCAGTTTCTGAAGGAAGGGAATAAGGGAAGGAAGAATACTCTGCTTCAGTACATGTCACATTACATGTTGGCATTCATGGTTCCCTCAACTAACTGTAGATCCTCAGTGCCAACATTACTCATGCAGCCCCAAACAATGACATCCCACCACCATGCTTGACTGTAGGCAAGACACACTTGTCTTTGTACTCCTCACCTGGTTGCCACCACACACCCTGACACCATCTGAACCAAATCAGTTTATCTTGGTCTCATCAGGCCACAGGTAATCCATGTCCTAAGTCGGCTTGTCTTCAGCAAACTGTTTGCAGGCTTTCTTGTGCATTATCTTTAGAAGACACTTCCTTCATGGACGACAGCCATGTGATGCAGTGTGCGGCATATGGTCTGAGCGCTGACAGGCTGACCCTCCACGCCTTCAACCTCGGCAGTAATGCTGGCAGCACTCATACACCTATCTTACAAAAGACAACCTCTGGATATGACACTGAGCATGTGCACTCAACTTCTTTGGTCGACCATGGTGAGGTTTGTTCTGAGTGGAACCTGCCCTGTTAAACTGCATGGTTTTGGCCACTGTGCTGCAGCTCAGTTTCAGGGTTTCGGCAATATTCTCATAGCCTAGGTCATCTTTATGTAGAGTAACAATCCTTTTTTCAGATCCTCAGAGAATTATTTGCCACGATGTGCTGTGTTAGACTTCACATGACACCAGAAGTGAAAATGGCTAATTGTGCCCAGTTAGCCATTTTCACTTAGGGGTGTACTCACCTTTGTACAGTGTTATACAAGCTGTACACTGACTACTTTACATTGTATCAAAGTGTCATATTTTCAATGTTTTGTTATGAAAAGATATAACAAAAATGTGACGGGTGTACTTGTACTCACTTTTGTGAGATACTGTATGTACTTCACTCAGACCCATCACCACCAGGTGTCGCCCTTGTTCTTTAAACAAATGTTTTTGTTTTGTTTTTTTTTAAAGCTGACTATTGTTTGTCCTTAGCCTTGTAGTTTATATAAAAGGGTAAGTTATGCATTCATTATTAAGTAATAGTAAAGTTATGATTATGTTTGTTTAAGAAATAATTCATTACCTAAAATTACTTTTAGACAAATTATATTTATACCTAATATCCAGGTGTTCCCACAAAGTCTGTGGCCTAGCTTGAAGCTTCCTCATTATCAGTAAACTGTTTCTGAGATGCACCTTCATCAGTAACTCAGAGCCACTGCCTATTGCTGTTATTTCAATATTAGCAGGAAGCAGTATCTGCTCTCTATGACTTGGCGCGGCCATTGAGCAACACTATCTTTACCACATATGTTTCTGAAATTGTCAAACTAACCTACTGTGTTAAAAGAAATGTTGAAAGAAATGGCAAATACCTAAGAAATTGTACAGTGAACATTCCAGTTGGCTGAGGCTAATCCGGACAGAAGGTTTACTAACTTAGAAGCATATTCTATTTTCTCGCTATGCATAATATCAGGATCGATTTGGTTTCATCAGCTGTTTATGCAACATTTTTTATTAGGTAAAAAAAGCATAATTTCAACCATAACAAAGATTGGCTAATAATGGTCTATTATTTTAAAGCTAGCTGATGATAGTGATGTTTGATTAACTTTTGCAAACATTCTTTTTCCTAGTTCAGGCACTCCTGACAGTTTTAGCAAAATATTCATACACAGCTACATGTCCATTGCAAAATAAAGTAGTATGGTTAACAGTACCTTTTCACTGATGGTAGTAGTAATGTTATCATAAATGAATGTGTTCATGAGCAAAAGTACAAGTAGCAGTGGCAGTTTATTGCACAGAAACAAGAAAAAATGAACAGTGAGAAAATTAATGCCAAATGATAATGTATATATTGATGACTTTTTTTCTACAATACTACATTCATTGCCATTCAGAGGAGAAACTGAATGTATGTTTAAATTGACAAACATCTGCAAATTACAAACGGCCACGTGTCACCTTTGTCCTCTGAATAATAACTTTTATTTGTGTTTAGCCTATTTATTCTGTATGCTATTGGTACATTTATTGTTTAGTAAAACAAGCTATCATTAGAATACCAGATGCCCATGCATTTTTAGAAGGCGGCTTTGGCCTGAAAGATCCATTTAGGGACTAGAGAGGAATTCACTGAGCTAGAGAAAAAGCACTGAGGTAGATGTAATATGGCAGGGATAACAGTCAGATCTAATGAAATTTGAATTATCAGGCTACAAACATAAAAAGCTACAACTTTTCATATGATTACACAGTGGAAAGTAGAAGTTTGAAGCTTCTTTTTTTTCAGTTTGTTTTCACTTCCCCAATGCTCATTTCAGCAAACTCTCGAGAACACACTAATGAGCCAGTAATGGAATAAGTAGAGCATATTATAGCTTTAACATGTGTTAAGGCTATGTGAGTGTTTTGTATAATTTATTTTTCACTGCATTTCCTGTTTGAAGTCTTTTGTGTTGTCCAAACATCAGTCACAGAAAAAAAATTGGTAAATAAAATCAAAAATGTTTTCAATTTATTCATAAACATTTAATCTGTATGTTGCTTAGGAACCACTTTAATTTCACAGCAAGCTCTCCTCAACATGTTTCTAAGTCTTTTAAAGTTAGTCTTTATAACTGACTGCACTATTTCATATACATACATAAGAGCTAGAGGTTGTATCACCAACTTTGGCAGTCTGATGAAAAATTATACATCGTTTACTAATGTCCTTTTGGCTAAATATTCAAGATGAAACAAAATGGCAAATCATGATATCTAGGTTTAATGTAAAATGAGTTCACATGCCATCACAAAATTGCACTTCACACCCCTTCAGCAGTAGCTAGAATAAAGGGCACTGTGAATGTGGTTTTGAGTTTAAAAAGCTTTCTTCATGAAATTTCTCAAAGAGCTCCAAGACTTGTTTAGTATCCTTGGAGTTGTTATTGAATACATGGTAACGATTGTTACAAGATTCCACAATGTGCTTGAGAGAACTCCTGTTGCCGATAAACTGATCCACTTTGCCTTTCAAATCATCTCCATGTGTAAATAGGACAATTGTGTTTTTCCTGATTTTCCAGCCAAGCTTGTCTTCCAGTTTCTCTAATATTCCCATTTCACCATCTGTGAACCTGCCCAACTGTATCACAAGTAACACTACACACTGCCCTTCCTGACAGTACCTCTTACACTCCTCTACTTGTGCCTCCTCTATAGGTTTATCTTCATAAAAGAAGTCTGGGGTGTCGACCAGTCTAACTTTTGTTCCACATATCTTGATTATTTTGTCCTTACACTTGGTGGTGATTGGTATGGAGCTTGGCTTGGCTTCAAAACCCTGGCCTTTGTCCTTGTGGTGCTTCCCAGCAGCCAGGATGGTGTTTGCAGTCGCACTCTTCCCAGTCCCAGTTTGTCCCAGCAGAATGATGTTAAATATGATATCTTCCTTTGCATCACTGCCCCTCTCAGCTGAAAGTAAATGCTAGATTATTTCATCAATAGTTTCCAATAGTGTTGGTTTTCAACCTCTGGGTGCCAATATGTCAGCTTTAAATAAAATGCAGAAAATTTTAGATCTCCAAGCTTTGTTATGTTTAAGTTGTCTTACTTATGACCACTTTAAAATTAGATTTTTTTAACTGTATTTTCTAAAACAATATACATCAAATATCAGTTTATTTAAATGATCTCACTTTCCGAATTAGATGTAGTTTTCTGAAGCACACCCTTGTTTCTTCCAGGTCCTTTTCCTCTTGGCGGGTCAGTCTGCTCTGAGATGGATGTACTGTGATTCCTGGCTCCTGATTGATTGGTATTTTATCATGAAAGCAAGTTTATCTTGTGTAAACATATCACATATGATGAAAAAATTGCACTTATTTACACAGGGTGATCACAAGTTCTCAAAAAGACATAAAATGTCTTATAAAAGTATTAAATTACTCAATTTATTATTATTCAATTTAAATGTAATTAAAATGTTTTAGTCATGTTGTGCAAATATTATTTAAATGGTCTCTTCTTTCTTTCATTTTGAGATGATATGTTTTGTGGATTTTTGAAGCTTACCCCTTTCTTGTACAGTTGCTTCTTCTGCAGGTAGGACAGTCTGTTCTGAGCTGGATGTACTTTGATTACTGAGTCCTGAAGAAAAGAGGATACTTTTATCTTATTGCAACATTATGTTCAGAAACCTCAACATACTCGTTATTCACAAACAGACATGTTTGGTAATGTAAGTTAATTAAAAAGTATGAGAACATCATGAACTATAGATAATAAAATAAAGACGACTAGCTGGACTTAAATGGCTTAACATAGGGTGACTGTTGGATCTTCAAAACTTCACTTTTAACTACACATTTACTAACAAACATCAATGTGAGATTTTTTTTTGTCATTGAGAATTATAGATAACACAACAGATATAGTTTATGGTGAAAAAATAGTAGTGTTATACAAAATAAAGAGCAAACTACTCACTTCCTATTATTTTGAGATTAAATATATTGTTTTTGTTTTAAGCATACCCTTTTCTTGCACAAGTGCTTTTTCTGCTGGTTTGGTAGTCTGCCCTGAGCTGGGTGTATTTTCATTATTTGCTCCTGAGGAAAAAGCGGATAATACATACTTCTTCTGTCACAGTACAATATGTTCAGAATCTCAGCACATTTGTTATTTCCAAGCAGGTTTGGTAACATTAGCTGCACATACACATAAGGTTTTCACACTGTCATTTTATAAATAAAAGAAGAGATATTTTATACATATAATTAAAAAATTAAATGGCTTACACAGTAAGTGTTAAAAAAATGTAACGAAAGCATTAAATTGTCTGGAATTTGTTTACATTGGTCATTTTACATTGGGATTTTAATATTCATGTGTGCTGTCCAGATAAGCCCATGGTTAAAGACTTTTTGAATCTTACTGATTCTTTTAATTTAGTT